TAAAACAAAAAAAACAGTTGAAAGGGAGTGATAGTAAAATATGCATAAATAAAAAGAAGAATACTATAGGTAACATAAGATAAAGAATAAACAAGTTAAATGATTTGTTATTGGTGTGTGATCATATTCTAAAGATGCTCTCTTTCATCTGAGTGTTGAGAGCTGTATCCATAAATTCCTTTAATGCTCAAATGCACAGATTGATGCATTTAACTTCAACATTAAAAAAAATCTTCCCGGGGCTGCATGCCCCGGATCACCCTTAGAGAAGTTAGTCCCACCCCAAATAAAAGAAGGTTAAAATTAAATAATTAAATTGCATACATTTTCTTTTAGCAAACACTAAAAACGGGTCCCACAGACCCAAACAGCACACAAAGGTTAAAGGTAAGCAATAGCATATATCGGAAAATACTGCATTAAAACAGTAATTTCCTGCATTTTTCTACTGATAAAGTATGGTTTAAATAATGTGCAGGCTTTCAGATTGCTGTAGTTCACTAAACAGACATTAACGACATGTTTGGTGTTCAAAATGTCAGAAAAAGTGAAAGAATTGGAGATAAATATCCCAAAATGGTATTATATTTTTTGTGTGTTTCTGGTCCTCTTTCAGTTGAGACACTGTAGGTGAAGGATGCTTCAGGAAAAGACCAAACACTGGATGTCTTTCAGTCGCCAACATGTGTTATCGAGACACTGATATTAACAGGGAAACCCTGCAGGACTCAAATGCCTAGTCTCTGTTCCCCAAACTCATTTGGGAGTGATTACCCATCAGCCCCAGGGGTAACGCTGCCCTTCCTCTGCACGTTGCCCTTCCTCTGCACGTTGTTTCACTTTCAGAAACACAGAGGACTGTTTGTATGATGGGATCACAGACACGCTGCAAACGTTGAGTCCAGTGTCTATGTAGTGTCATTTTTATTTGTTATAGCTTGAGAAGATTGAAAATTCGGTAGGGAAAGCCAGCTTAGGCGGTAGAAACATGTCAGAAGCGGTAGACTACGGCCCAAATTGGTATGGTTGGCAGGTACTATCACACAGGCCGGAAATTACGTTCACGCAAAACTTTATCTATATAGCATCTTTTATACAATAATGTAGCCCACAAGTGCTTCACAAAGCAAGAAAAAAAAGACAACAAATAGACAACAATAATACACTTTCATAAGACTAAAAAACAGTGAACAATAACTTTGTACAAATAAATTAAAGGCACCAGAATAAATAACACAAGATAAAAACGGTTTGGAAATCTCATGACGTACACTTATCCATCCACCTCTTGAAGACAAGTGGTTCCTATTCTTACGTTGCAGTTTTGTGTCTACAGTTATGGCCATGGAGAGCAGTTTGTGGAGTACCTGCGACTACAGCCACAATGTCACCTTCTTCTACAACTTGGTGGGTAAGAAGATCAGCGTGGAGTGGGCGCCGCGGGACGTGCTTGTGATTGGACTGGGCTTGACTGTATGTCTCATTGTAGTCCTGGCCAACCTGATGGTGATGGCGGCCATCTCCATGAACCACCGCTTCCACTTCCCCATCTACTATCTCCTAGGCAACATGGCTGCAGCTGACCTGTTTGCAGGGATCGCCTACGCCAACCTGATGCTGCACACGGGCCCCTGGACCAGCACCCTCACCAAGGAGCAGTGGTACATCCGAGGGGCTTTGATCGACATCAGTCTGACGGCCTCGGTGGCCAACCTTCTAGCAGTTGCCGTGGAGCGCCACCAGACTATAATCACCATGCAGCTTCACAGCAAGATGACTAAGCGGCGGGTGGTGCTGCTGATGGTCTGCATCTGGGCTGTGAGCATCGTCATGGGGCTGGTGCCCTCGCTGTTTTGGAACTGCGAGTGTGACCTTGAGGACTGCTCCACCGTCGCTCCTCTCTACAGCCGCCGCTTCCTCATCTTCTGGGCAGTTCTCAACCTGCTCACATTCTTCATCATGGTGGCCATGTACACTCGTATCTTCTTCTATGTGAGGTACCAGATTTCACACATGTCCCAGCACAGCTCGGAGATAAGGCACAGGCAGACTGTTTTCAACCTGATGAAGACTATCTCCATTGTACTGGGTGAGAAGCTGTCTGTTCCACTGCTGCATGTTTGTTGTGGGTTAAAGGTCAAGTTTATAAGGTTGGGTTTTTATGGCAGTGTAGACTTAAGACTTTAATTGTTTTGGTATGACACACTTTACTGTTAATACAACTCATTGGGGAATTACAATTATTATTTTAGCAACAAATAAAATATATATATTTGCTTCATATTCAGAAACTAAGATTTAGTGGCTTTAACATGTATTGTATTGTGTTAGTGTTTAACAACTGTCTCAATATGAAATATGCTTTGGCTCTGAGTTGTGTACATGTCTGGATGCTTGCTACCTATCGCCTAACAGTAATCTCCTCAAACCAGTTTTGCAGCATTGCCTTCCTGTTTGTCAGACCATTCTGATTTCATCATGTACTTTAACACAAAAAGCTGTTAGGAATTTCCCAATTTCTCTTCACAATAAACCTCTGACTATCTTTGTGACTCATCTCCCAGCGGAAAATCCCAGTTAACATTGACATTAGGCATCAAGGAACACGTGTGACCTAATGTAGCTGCACTTTAAACAACTGGTGTCATCTTTCACGGCTGCATATTTGGAAGATTTTACTTTATTGTTGTTGACTCCCTTTTTCTGCCAACCCACATCCTTCAGGCGCCTTTGTGATCTGCTGGATGCCCGGCCTCGTGACGCTCTTACTGGACGGGCTGTTGGGCAAAGCCAGTCACGCCAACTCCTACGAGAAGTTCTGTTTGGTCATAGCAGAGTGCAACTCTCTGGTCAACCCCATCATCTATTCCTTGCGAGACGAGGAGATGCGGAGGACGTTCAAGTGGATCCTGTGCTGCCTGTGTGGGAGGGGGGGGGACAAGCAGATGGAGCTTTCACCTGTCGAGATGAACCCCCCACTGACAGAGGTCTAGTTATATTAGCACATCTGAAATGATTTACAAGCACAGGCTATAAAATCGAAAGAAAAGGCTCATATTCAGATATCGCTCTTCCGTTACACACACAGCGAGTTAGGCAGGTTTGCATGTAACGCACCAACGCACATGCTGATTTCATATCTAACGCTCAGGTACCCTGTACCCGGCGCGAGAGAGAACCAGGAATTCCTCCTCTTCATGTCTTTGTTTCATCTTTGGGTCAAGACTACTTTTATTGAGAAAGAAAACAATTGAACGCATAGTTCAGATGGTTTGATCTGTTGGGAAGTATGTAGTATTTTTTTAAAGAACAAGTTAGTGCCAGTTCTCCCCTTTGTGTTGCTGTGGACAGGGCCAGCAGTAATATATCAGTATTAGTTGAAGTGGATGCTATATTCAGAATATCTTCACTGATTTCCCTTGCCGTCAGTCTTTTCATATGTGAACTTAAGCTAGCTGCCAGAAGTTATATCCACTGCTCTCTTAAAGCCACTAAATTCCTTTGACAACAACAAATACCTTACAAAACATAGAAGTGGCTGATCTTTGTTTTATTTATTTGACATATCAGAAGTTGTACACACTGACAGATATATTATTCATTATCTGCCTCTTCATCACTTTAGGTTGTTATAGTGTGACTTTGGTGAGTTCCAACTAACCTTTTAAAACTCGTTAGGTCAGCCATAACACAAACAAACGTACATCTTGTGTTCTGCATGGTAAAACTACAGTTGTTTTCTCAATGGAGTCTGGTGGCTTTGAGAACATAAAAGGACAGAAAGGCTTCAGACCCTGTCATTACTTCTGATTCTTTAAACTAGATCCTTGCTGATGAACAACTACTGTAGGTTATACTCCGACCACAGAGAAGTGCAACATACAACCCTGCTTTTAACTATCTCTGTAAATTACAAAATGGCATCCTTACTGTACAGTATGTCCTTTTTAAATTCAAAACACATTTTTCCATTGTTCTTGATGCCTAATGAATTCTGTTTTGTTTTTTACAGGAAGCTCTTGGCTGTGTCCAGAAATCAGAAGATCTGGCCGTCTGTCCAGAAACAAACAATAAAGAATCCAGCTGGACGATACCGGGGGTCTGATGTCTGTAGGCCTGCATCTCAAACAAACCGACGACACGTCGTGTAAAATCCTTCTTCGTATTTTCTGCCAAATGACCTGTCATATGTTTGCAATTGTAAAAGATATATATATAAAGATGCATCTTTTGAAAATAATTGTATCCATGTCGAACCAATGCTTTCATTCCTCAGTTTAGCGTTTCCTCAGTCTGACGAGGCGGACAGATCCACATGTTGATCCTCGAATGGTGCAATCTCTCCTTTTATTACATTTGACTATCACAAGAGCATTTGTGACAAATGATAAAATGAAACACTCCTAAAATCTGAAATGAAATACTGAAAAATCACACTAAATCATTTTATTAATTTTCTAATAAGAACACTACAATTTGTCATATTCTTCCTTTTTGTTTTACTCTTTCTAGAACAATTCTAAAGTTGAGGTATAAAAGGAGTTCATACAGACTCACAAGTCTGAAAACAGTGGGGGTTATATACAAGAGAAATGGAAAGACAGAGGTAGAGAGAGGGGTAAATACAAGGGAAAGAGGGGATACGAATATACTAATAAAAAAAGAAATCAAAAAGGTTTACGAAGCCATTTGGCGCGGTGGAAGTCATTTCAGAATCTAAACGAGATTCAAACATGATTAACCGTAAAAACTTGAAGATTTGCAGATATGTTGAAAAAATTCAAGGGACCACATGTTTGTCTTGAAGTGTTTCTCATAAATGCTTTTTGCTCTTCTCATTATGTTTGAGGTGAGTTGACATGAAAAGAGCAAATCGTAGACCATCTGCTTTACGGTGAAGGTCTCTGGATTCAGGGTGTATCAAGAATTGTAACCATTTTAAATGACGTTGAAGTTAACCTAATCCCTCAAAGATTAAGTATGAACTTCCTCTCAGTTGTAAGCAAATATACTGCTTGCATATTCTTACAATAGTCAGGCATTACAAATTAGTTTCTGGGATTAAATGTCTACAAAACCGGCAACATCTGCACATTTACATGAAGTCATGTCGGATCAGTTTGAAGCCTCCGGAGCAAAACTGAATGACCCTCCGTGTAACTATTAAAGCTTTTGTAACTCCGTAAACCTAAACTTGAATACGATAAAACTATTTGATACCTCTTTTAGAAAACTAAATAGATTTAGGATTGAATGACAAAACAGATGGGTGAATATTCTGAGAATTGTGGAGAAGGTTGAGACTGATGGGAAAGGTTACCCATGAGGCTTTAGGGCAGAGTACACCTACTATTGTCTAGGTGTAGAATTGTCTTTCCACAGCACCAAATGTCACACCTGTAAACCCTCCAGCCACGCGGCTATGTAACAAAAGACCTAAATAATATTCAAAATGGATAGTTATCGTGAATCCTGTCACACAAAGGCCAAATAAAACTGGCATCTCAACCGAACAACAAAGTTTATAAAAGGAAAAAAAAAAATACTGAAACATTACACAAACTGTACAGTGACATCCATTACAACAGGTAGAAAAAGGGGGGCATGATAATTTGGTGTGGCGATAACGTTATTCATAAGATACAGTCGTATGAACCGCGATGAGTAACAAAACAATAATCAGATGTGGGATACAACATGTGATTAGCTCAAGTTTTGTTCTGTAACATAATTCAAGAAAGTCTTGACGGACACTGCATAAGGCTTTACCTTACTTTCAAAATACTTTGTTAATCACATAAAAGTTAATGTATAAAATAGTTCCAAAGAATGAAAAAACGTTGCAGGTTTGTCTTAAACACGAGTTAAGAGTTTCACTACCCCCCCCAGTGCTGCCTCTTTTTTGGTAAAAGAGGAGAGAGAGAAGCTCTTGCCCAATTGGCCGTATAACTATAAACAAATGGTGGTTTTAACAGGTGTTAGGGGAAGGGTTACAGAGCATAACTGATACGCTCACAATCAAAATAGAGCTGTGATATGACAGTCCTCACTCCACCCACCCTCCCATGATGCCCCACAACAAAAGCCCCAAGAGTCAAATCAAGTTGAGGCATGACAACACCACACAGAGACACAGATACAAATATAATTCCCTCCTCTCCTCGAACTCAAAAGGTGGCTGTGCACCAACGTTAGAGACACACAGAGTAGCATTATTACATTGCTGAACGTGGTATTTTTGGTTTTGACACAACAGAAGGTTGTAGTGTGTTGCCTCGGGCTAACAAGCTTAAATGTTTTCCAGATGGGGAGCAGTGGACCCCACCTGGAGTGTCATTGGCTGGCGGAAGCACCCAGTCTCTACAATGCTTACAAAGGTCAGAGGGCACCAGCCAGTGTGACGAAGACATCCCAAGAGCACTGTACACACGCCCACACACAGACACACACATCATAGCAATACATGATGCACTTTTTCCTTTTTGGTCTGACTGTAATAATTATACCCTTTATTATTATTATTATTATTATTATTTTTTGTTAATAAAAACGAAGCTAAAAACTTGGAAGGTTAAATGAAAACAATAATATCACGCCTAGGAGTCCTACATGCATGGAAGACGGTCACGTTTCTAAAGTCATGTCACGTTTGTCCCAATAACACATCAATGCCCCACAATCGTTCCACCTTCTCCTCCTCACGTCACTTAGATGCTTTATTGAGCTCATTTTTGGTGGCGGCTGGTGCATTCTTGGTGAAACAGCATTAGAAAATAGCCTACAATCAAATAAACTAGTGGACAGAAAGCAAGAAGTAAATTCTACAAGCCGTCTACCAACACCCTCTATTGGTTAGCAACAAAAAAGGTCTATTAGTTACATCCACTCAACCAAAGGTATTCTCCTCTGCCCATTCCTCCTCCTCTCCCCAGCCCTGTAATCACCTGCACTGCCTTCCGATCAGGGACCCCCTTAACTACCTCACGCTTGTGCTTGACACATCCTTTATGTCAGGCTCACTGAAAAAGACTGAAAATGTGTGTGGGCATATCTCAATTATTCACTTTGTTTAAATCTCCAACAGAATGAAGCATCAAGCTATAAGGACTGGAAGATATAACAGTGTCTTGTGTTGAGTTGGCAGAGGGTGGTCTCGGAGGAACAGCTGTGTTGACTGGGCAGCACTTTGGTACGAGCGAGGCGAGCAGAGCCCCCTGGTGATCCGTAGCAACAGTTTGGCTGTCAAACGCCGAGGCTTCAAGAGATACAGGCAATCGCAAACAGCTTTCCAAAGCAAAGGGTCGAGTGCAGAGGTCAACAGCACATGGACAAGCTGTGTGGGTACTGTGAGAAGTTATCGTGCATAATATACACATAATGTACAGACATCATGATCTTCACAGCTGGGTCAGTGGTTTTCAAAAAGTCTGTGATAGTAAAGATGTTTTCTATCTGTCTCAGCGTCGGTGAGCTCCATCCCTCTTTTAGTCAGAAGGGAGGGAGGGAGCTTCTAGCATCGAGGTGGAGCTGTGGAGGGGGGGGAGGGACAACTCCTCCTAACTATTGTTTGGCTGTCCTGTGTTCCAGCACAGTGTATGTGTGTGTGTGTGTGTGTTTGTGAAATGCGAGCACAGCCTTGTGTGGCTGTCGAGTTGAGAGAGTGGTGGAGAATGAAGACGGAGGATGGCAGTCGGAGCTGGGCCGCAGAGGGAACGGAGAGATGGCAGGGGGAGCCACGGAATCAGTTAGAAGTGTCGGAGTGGACGCTGCCAGGAGGACCGGGAGGAGAGGTGACCGAGGGGGGGGTGGTGGTGGTGGTGTCCTGCCAGCTGTTAGCCTGCAAACAGTCAGGGAAGAGAGTGTTCTGCATGAAGAAGGAGTTTTATAATTAGACGTCTAAATCAGCTATATTTATGCTTACAGGCCAAAAGATGCAGCGTAAGAGATAGTTCTAACCATGTGTCTGCACACAGTGAGCTATCAGCTGTGTATGTATGCACATTGTTACACACGCAGAGACAATGACTTTCTATTTAAGTCAATTGTTGTTGTGTCTTTTTCTCATCCACTTCCCCAACATAAATCAAGTTCAAAAAAATTGGAGGAAGCCAAATGCAACCTGGTTACTTGATATCTCAGATATTTCTGCCTATAAGTAATATATTCCTAAAATGTAAGTCTCTATAATAATTCACCCACGAAGAGAAGCCATTGGCTTGTTGTCCCAGGAGGCATCTCTTAGCTCACATTCAAGTTGAAAATGTCCTTGATGATAATAAAACTGGCCTTCATTTGCTTCATGGTATAATAACCATTTATGTTTTTTGTAATCATTGTCCAACAGCAACAACTCATTATTTCAATACATAGTTGGAATATTCTTCACATTTAAAAACATTGCTAAAAGAAGCTTTTAGTGTGTACTCACATCCAGGCGGTGAGGGGTGTAGAGGCCACTTCCCGACAGCTCCTCATAGCCGCCCGTCAGGTGTGTAGCACGGTGCAGGGTATCCACCTGCCACACAAAATAGACCCACAACTTTTAACTCAACATTCAAACAACGACACCGTTTTTCTAAACAACCACAGGCTGAACTGAGTAATCCACAAACCGCTACTGTACGCATCGTAATTCTCACTGCTTTTCTGCCAGTGACACATTTGATTAAAAGTCGTTTATCAGACAAAGTGATCACTACATTACGGCAATCAATAAAGCATATCCTATAGCTTCTGTTTATTGTTACATTTCAACAGCAGAAATGTGTGGGCTCCTTCAGACAGTTCACTGTGAGGAAATCTAATTGGTGTACATGAGGATATAGAACAAATGGAGAGATGGGATGGAGGAGTGTGTGGAAAGGGAGGGAAAACAAGGACTAAAAAAGCAGGTAGCTTTTGGAGAGGCAGGACAACCTAGAGGGAAAGAAAATGAAGCTCAGCGGAAGTTCTTTCAGGAAGACTGGTATACATTCACTCCGCAGCTGCTTATAATCACCTCATCACGGGCTTCCTGCTAACTTATTACATTCATCTCAATCTGCAGCCAAACTTCAAAAGGGTTCTCCTCTCTCCTGCAGGCAGCTGTGATTTCAGGTGTTCATGCTGCCAACACACCCGTTTCAGATCCTCGTAGCAGATATCAAGCGAGAGCGAGAGGAGAAGACCTCCATCGGCAGAAACGCGGGTACGTCCGACTCCGGCCGTCTCGGCATAAGCAAACAAGCCGATCCGGTATCAGAACGGAGTCGAGGCCTCCTCGATCAGCTGATCCGCCAACACGGAAGTCGCATTACGCACAAGCCGACTGCGAGCAGGCCCTCTACGCCGCATTCAATCCCTCCCGGGAAATTCAACCAGCGGATAAGTGACGTCTATCCGTGTTCACAGCACGTCTAGGCATGATCGCCTCCGTGTCTCATCAGATGCGTATCTCGGCACCCCTTTATGGGTTGGGGCAGTCCGGATAAAATAATTATATATTTAAAAAATGAATAAATATAAAAGAAAGAAAGAATGCACAGGTTCTCCTTCATACTTTCATGCATATAACTGGTGGTGGTGCAAACCGTGCTTGCTTTTATGATCACACGACCCCCTCTATCTGGTAGTTCAATAGCAGACCTCAATGTCTCGGTGCACACTTTTCCGTCAAGCATAAGGAATGGATGCAATACAAACAACTCATGCTCAATGTATTTGCAGCGTATGTCTCTCACAGCAATGAGTCACTCACTCAGCTCACGTTTGAATCATCTGCAGAATACCTTCATTGCATTACATTATTTATTAATCAGCACTTCTCCAGAGCGGTTTCATCTGAGTGTATCCCTGTCCTGTACATTCTCTGTTTTATAATGATTGCTTATTCTGCCCTTATGCGTGTAACCACACGCATGCCCTATCCGACCTGATATCCGCACCGTACTGGCTAATCAAAAACTCTTAAACTCCTACGGTAAGCTATGCATATAACTGGTGGTGGTGTATCACATCCTTCTAAGATAATGTTTTACCACATGCTATGCCTCTCTCACTTATCCCAGCAGACTGCCTGAGCGATAACAAGTCTTGCGATAGCCAGCAGACTGCCTGAGCCATCAGAAGTCTTGC